AGCACGCTGTGTAGCAAACTTTCAACAACATAAGGTTGAACAACATGCCGACAATGCTGTTAAATTGTTCATGCACCATTAACATAAAACCGCCATGGCATCCACAAGAATACGAGGATCGCGGAAAGGTTCCTGCGAACACATTTGCCGCACACGTTGCCACACGAGCACCCACACTACGACCCAGAGCGGGCTGAAAGGATACAATAACCGCCTTGAAAGACACGGCAGGGTCACAAGAAATTCCACCTGGCCAACCCCAAAAAGCCAACCAGAGTGTGTGCAATTTCTATCAAACGTGTTTGGCGTAACAAGCGCAAAAGGACATCAAATGTGCATCACAAATTCTTTTGGATTTTGACAATCAATTTGTCCTCCAAAACACACCTGCGTAAGCCATCGCGCCCGCAAATTCCCTCTCTCCCGTTGAGGTTCGTCATCGCTTCCCGGGGCCGCTTGCGTGCAACCTGCTGGAAGTTCTCGTGGACTTGAACGTGAGTCTCTTGCATCACGCGTGCCGCCAAAGCGCCTCAGAAACATCCAGGCCACGAACGCGGAGGCGATGCAAGTGGTCCATCTGGTCCCGTCTTGGGGTTTGCAGGAACACAACTGCGAATGGCAGGGAGTTGCGGCTTCTCGCTCACTTCGGCACGCGCAGAACCTGTCCAAGTAACAGGCCCAGTTCAACCCAGCTGCGTTAGTACCAATCAAGAAGCACGTTGTGTAGCAAATGTTTTGCCCCACCCATTCTCCACGGAGCTTGCGGTGCCAGCTTCGGTCTGGTTTGTGCCGACAGGCCGCCAACGTGGACTGGCCGCGCCCCTGAACTCTGTGGCCGGGCTCTGAGGCCGGGTCTTGTCCTCCTCTTGCGTTCTGTTGTCCTGCTCTTCTCTTGTTTTTTCTCGTGGCCAAACGATTGGCGATGTCGATGCCGACAAAGAGGATTGATAAGGCAATGGGCTAGGAACCTGGCCACAGAGTTCAGGGGCGCGGCCAAGACAAGGACAAGAGGAGGACGTAGGAGGACAAGACCTGGACACAGAGCCAAGCCACAAAGTTCAGGGGCGCGGCCAAGACGGGGACAACAGGAGGACAAGACCCGGACACAGAGCCGGGCCACAGAGCCCAGCCACAAAGTTCAGGGGCGCGGCCAAGACGGGGACAACAGGAGGACAAGAGCCGGACACAGAGCCAAGCCACAGAGCCCAGCCACAGAGTTCCTGGGCGCGGCCAAGCCAAGGACAAGAGGAGGACAAGACCCGGACACAAAGATGGGTCACAGAGACCAGCCACAGCGTTCATGGGCGCGGCCAGTCAGTGTGGCCAGCTCTCTTTTTCCTAGGATAGATCCCCAACAGCAAACTGTGTGGGGGATAACTGAAGTAAAACCTTCTCAAGAAAAGTCCTCATATGGTTCACGGCGCGAAGACAAAACCTGTTCCGATGGCAAGAACACTTCACTAGCCTAGACAAGAGCATGTGACAATCCATGGAAAATTTTAGTTTTCCACAGATTGAAATCTTGGAACACATCTTGATGCCCCCAACAAGATGATTGAAAATTTCTGACCACCAAAAGATGAATATCACGAAAGGAACGCTCTTATTCCTCGAGTCAAGAACGGTCAACACCCTCAAGTACATTTTTCTATCACGCAGACCCTTCAATAATATTTTCTCAAGTCAAGAACAGTAAACATCCTCAAGTACATTTTCTCCCTCAAGGAGACGCCCTCAAGAGTACGGTCCACGACCAGATGTCACTTAAACATGTTGATTCCGTGGGAGCATATTAGGTTGTATTGGCAGTTGCTTTGGGAAGGGCGAGCGGTGATTCAACCGCTTTTTTCAGTCCGTGGCCCATCCTTTGGTGCAAAGGGTTTTGGGATGTTTTGGGCAACGCTACTTGCGCCAACAGGGCCGATGAAAAGCAAACACGCACCTCCCTCTCAGACAGTTGCGCCGCATCAGCAGCATATATTTACATAAAATGTTGCGCGCGCGCGGCCCCAAACATGATTGCAGTCGGCAAAATTTAGCAAATGATTGGTGAGAACGGGCCTGCTGTGACCTGGTCGCATCCGCAGTTCCACGACTCCATGCACTTCTTTGGCACTGCAATATTTGCTTGCACTAGTGAGGAAAATATAGAAGAATGGTGCACCCTCATCCAAAACACACCAAACCTGATCATCACCCCATATGTGACAACAAGCCTCAAGTTGCATGTGGTGCCCAAAGCAACAACAGCGTGATGAACATGGTTAACCGTGCAACTGGGCGTCACAGCCAAACTCGTGACAGAAAGTGTTAGCATGTTTACCCGTGAAAGATGTGTCGCATTGTTGACAAGACGGGTAGTTTGGGCAGGTTGGCCACAACAAATTAGCATGGACCGCGGGATGCACATGCGCTGGCAGTGAAAAATTGAGCGTGCGTAGCATTATGATAGCCATGTTGAGGCGCAGCGTTGGTGACCAATAAATTGTGCACATGAAGGGCCATGCTGGAAATTTGTCGTCATGAAGTTGCCAGTGGCCAAAATGGAATGCATATGGCTACTAGCCAGCCCAAAGCATGCTAGGAAAGAACCTAAAATCAATGACTGTCCTGGAGAAAACAGTAATTTGCAAATATTGGCGGGCTGCATGAATGAGAGTGCTGCATTGTGCCTGTTGGACGGGTGGTCAACGCAATCGCTCATTTGGACAAGTCGGCAGCATGGATGCGCGACTATGCTTGACTATGCTGTTGAGGTCTCAACCGTGGGCTGCAAAGAGCAAACGCCTGCTCAAAACGAGGTATTGTCGCCACGGTCGCGTGAAACACTTGCGCGTAAAACACGTCATGTGCCAATACGAATCATGTGGCATGCCTCCAAAAAAACTATGCGTGCCCACGGGAAAGCAGCACTTCCCAATGCTCGCGCGAAGGTTCGGGCGAGCAAACGTTCCCTAACAAATTGCATCCCCTTGACGATATCCTCTATTAAATGGGGAGGGTTCACCCTCCATATATTGAAAAAGAGGAAACTCTTTGTGCATGATGTCGCCACTGCTTTCCATTACTTTCCTGAAGCACTTGCAAGACGGTAAAATCTGCTCATTAACAAAAAATGGACATGATGGTTCCAGCGTTTTATGTCTATAAAGCGTTTGGACCCCCCACTCATACTGGAATGGTGATCAAATTGCAATTTTGCGGCTTCAGGAAGGGCGCGAAAATCAGAAAAATGTTTTCAGGCTTAGCCGTCACACCCTTGGCACAAGCGCTTTGGTTCCAAGCAGTGCCTTCCCAGTTTGTGTAGTTTGTCCGCATGCTAAGTGAGCTGTGTCCTGTCAAACCGGTTTGGTTTTCCAATGCTGTTTTTTGCCCGCCGACGTGTAGCGGAGCAGGGTCGTAGCATGGTTGTTATTTTTTGGTGCAGAGACATCCTGCCCGGAACATGGAAGGCACGCCCCGGCTTTCGTTCTGCATAGAACATGTTGTGTGCGGCCAAAAAGATGGCCAATGAACGCAGGAAGCAAGCACATTGAAACATCATGATATCCTGGTAGCGTACATACATGCCACTGCTTGCGGCCTTGCTGCGTATAAAACGCCTTGCGCTGGTTTGGCGACGGCTCCAGGCGCAGCAGCTTAGTTGCGTTTTGCGAAGTGTGTGCATTTGCCTGTGGTTTTGCTGCACCTAAACTGTGTTTTGATTTGTTTTGCAGTGCATGCGCAGAGTCCGTTGCAACAAAAATGGCGCCGAAACGTTTTGTTTGCGGTTGCTGTGTAATGGCTCTTGTGCTGCCTAACCTAACCACACTGCTTCGCAAAAGAGACAACAAGCAGGCCACACTTGCAATACTTGTAGGGACGTCCTGCTGGGAACGTGTTGGTTTAGCGCAAAACCTTTTTTATGGAACGCAACACGAATGTGTTGCAACGGCGAAGGAAAGCAAACACCGAGGGGTCTTGCTAGGCACGTGCAACTGTTTGTGGCCGCGCAAACGTGTGCATTCCAAGGTGGCATGCTGACGATGCGTGTGCTTGAGGGTTCCAAGGCGGCATTCAACTCATAGCACTAGACGGCACCAGAGGCAAACCGCGCACCAATCTGCCCAAACGATTGGGGCCCGGAACGGCGGCTCAACTCTACACATGTGAATACTGTTGGAACAGGCATCTGGATAAAAAAAAATTGCACCAAAGGAAAAAACAAAATATACCAAAACATAGAGGACCCTTCAAAAAGTACGTCTTCGAGTCTAGCGGTCCCCTAGGCCTTTCGGTCTCTTGGTCCACTCGGTCTCCTGGATTGGTTCTTTGGTCATTTCTAAAATTCTAGCACCATGAGGCGAGGTGTCTATTTTTCTATTGGTTTATGTAGGTGCAACTACATGCGAACCCTGTTTTGTTTTCGTTGAAGGCGGAAATATTTTTGTCCAACACTTTCGTCCCACATGCCCGTCCGCTCGTCCTCTATTGTCCCGGAGTTCATTGTGGCATTGTTTTGCCCCCCAAAAAATTAGATCCTTTTATCGCCGTGTTGGTGCTGCCCTTTTCCCACTCAGTGTTTCTGTGTTTGATCCCTGTCGATTATTTTGTTTGATTGATGTTTTTTGATCCCTCACAAAATGCGCAGGAATATTACGGATGCTTGGGTGAACGTGAGAAAAACAATCAAAACATGCTGACAAAGAATTGTCAGTTTTTGGATTGTTACGGTTGGCATGGATGAAGGGTGCAACCTTGTATCGACAACCGCCGATTGTGCAATTTCCGATTTGGGCTCGAGGGCGAAACCATGCGTTCGTCCAAGCGGTATCGAACATGATTTTATTTGTTTTGGAAAGGCCGCCGGCCTTCACCACACACGGGTCCAATGTTGGGACACGACCTGGAAACCCAAAGCCAAAGTGTGCAGGGTCAAAATTGAGTGCGCTGCGCACGCGAAATGTTGTCAAGTTGTGATCTAACAAACGTGGTATTCGCTACTAATCTTAGTGGGGCCACTGAAATCCTCCGCTGGCATGCGCCTTTCTCTTTCATGTACGTCGCCCTATGTCGCCCTTGTGGCCAGTTGTGGACATGGATTGACTACGGGCTCGCACCTCGTGGATTGACGGCAGAACCACCCCTTCGCGTCCAACCGCGTCCCGCTCCGGGCGCAGGCCGGTAGCTCCACGGTGCAGGACTTGAGCCTCTCTATTCACAGGAAAGCTGTTTCTCCGGTTGCGTCGACACTTTGCTGCAACAGGGCTTGCAAGAACCCAGCATAACCCAGCTATATTATGTGATGTTGTTGTTTTTGTGTTGTTTTCTGCATGAAGCATATGGATATGTGCATGGAATGCACTCACCATCTGGAGGTTGATCATGAGATTTGCAATCTTACCATGCCAAGCTGAGGGGAACAACTTTACCGACACGGTGGTGATGGTAAGGCGTCCTCGGTCTCATGTCTACTCCATGTACCAGGCAGACCGGTGAACTTTACAGAGAGGTTTTGAGCAGCTGGGTTTTCCAATTATTTCTATTTTCATAAAGTTTAAGCGTGTTCCACGTTAGTTTGCATTTCGCAGTCTTGACAAATGCAAAAATGCGGTTTGTTTCTTGTTTTCCAGCGTGCGAGCCGGAAATGGAATCAATTCTGTTCCCGGGTCTTCCTTGCATGAGGTAAACTACAAGCAATCCCCGGGCAGAAAAATCATCATCTCGGCAACTTCACTGGATGGGTGAACGAATGGCGCGACCGGCCACGCTTCGGTCACCTGGGCCTCGGTGCTGTGCACGAAAAGATTGATTTTGATTTTAGTTACACCTGGAAGACTAACATGGACCCTGAAAACCACTGGTTGGTTGAGGAAAGCACTCTTCTAGGGGGCCATTGTCAGGGTCCATCTTAGTTTTCGGGAGAAGTGTTTATATTATTATTGATTTAATTATATGTTTCTCGGATGGAGATGGATGTAGGTGGTAGACTGGGTGCTTGTGAAGATTCTGTCCCTACAACCTGCAGACCGATCCGGCTGGTATGCGACAGATCATCGCCTTATCCATCCGATCCGGTGGTGTGAGATACTGCTATGGCGACCCTGGCGACCCACGGGGCCATGAGGAATTTAAATGCCGCAACAGCACTGGGGGTGACAGAAGCATACCATGAGTCCGTGTGCCTGTTCCACGCACATTTCCTGAACTCGCTTCCGGCCCATTGCAAGTGCCAGAACCCAGAGGTTTGGGTTTCTTACGTGGCCACCGATGCAGCGTATGGAGTGAGCTACGGCAGAAGCATTGACGATATGCCTGAAGAGGTCCTTGAGAAAGTGGATGCGATGACACTTGATCGAGCAGCGGTGAAGCGCTTCATGGCTGATGTACAGAAAGTAGAGGATCAGTTCGGATCAAAGATCCTGTGTGATGGATAGCTATCAGAGCTGAATCAAACTTGCCGGGTGACTGTCCAAAAGGGATGGCAATGCCTTGTGGCACTGACATTCAAGTGTTTATTAAGAGAGAGGTTGTGGTCATGAGGCGGCACTGGATAGTTTATGCCACTTGCAGCAGTTTGATTTGGTATGGGGGCCCTTCTGCCATGGCAGATCATGGCAGCAAGTTTTGAGATTTTTTCTGGATGCCAGGTTTGAGTTGGTCAATAAGCTTCTGCATTCAGTTTCATGAAGAATGCTGCGCGGAAGACCCGCCCACAGAATCGCTTTGGCCAGTTGGATGCCACACCAGGCTTCGGTTCAAGGAACTTCCCGGTGAGAAAACAAGAGATGTTAACAGCAGGAATGTGGAAGCTACCCTTCTGCCCTCCAAAGTGTTATTACCGTCAGTAAATGTTTAAGGTAGGTCTGGCCAAGAATGGTCCAGTTTGTATTGAGAACCGATGACAGGGAGGCCGTAAGTTTAATCTGTTAGTTATTCTGTTGGGCGGGATTGCGGGGGTAAGGCTGTGTGCTGGGCAACTGTCACTGGCCACAAGACCTCTTTGTTGGTTCCTTTGTTCGTCACAGCCGTGTGCGTCAGACCCACAGCCCATTCAACTCATGGCTAGCAAAAAGAAGCAACAAAGTGCCACCAAGGGCATTTGGCGCATCATTGCCGGGTCTCAGCAAGACTCACTCCTCAGGTGAGAGATCAACCAAGCCATGTTGGAAGTCGACTTCATCCTTGTATCTTTTCCATTTTGCACCGCTCGTGGCCGCCATGTTTGGGATGGGCATGCCTCGCATGCCTTTGCCGCGTGCGCGTCCTCCACCCTCCTGGGGCGCGATGGGAGCCTCCCCGGCCGTGGGAACCGCGGGAACCGCGGCGCTCCCGAGTGCCGCGTCCACGGCCACGGCCCTGCCGGTGGGACGGATCGACAATGCGGCGGCGGTATTGAATTCGCGCCCCGAGTGGGCGCCCCCGACTTTGGAGCCCAAGGACTCCATGGGATTCGTGTGAAGTAATGTGACAAATCTGGAACTCGTGTGATTTTTGTGAGTGCTCCTGGACCACCGAAACATGTTAAGATCTTGCAGGTCCTACAAGGGGGGGTGGGAAGTGATCGTGTTTCTTAAAATAAGTTTGACACTGTTTGACAGCCTGTGACCCTCATGATTCTTCGGAGACCATTCGTTTTGGCGACGCCAGGACTTCTCGGAGCTGGATTCAAAGAGCCAGCTACTGTGGCAGCAGCATGAGCATTATGCCCTGGAAGAGGCCCACATGGAACTAAGAACCACTGGGTTGTAGAGGAGAATGGCCTTCCAAAGATCAGTTTCAGGTTCCATGTTAATCTTTCCGGGTGTAAGACCACCGGATATAGAGACGTAGAGACATGTCATAGATTCGAAGTTGGTTTGGTTTGGAACGGTGTGAAGCAGGGCAGCCCACTGCATTTGGAGTTGGACGTTTTTGAGGTTGAGGATCTAGAAGATGAGCTGATGAAGGTTCTCGCCACACCTTTTTTGACCACAGCCAGTGGCCCAGGTTGGCACTGTTTTGCCAGAAGAAGCTCGGCCAAGTCTTCAAGCAGACGGATGCTTGACTTGAAGTGTTGCCCCGGGCACCAGAAAGACTGGGAGGCTGAACGGGATAGCATTCCGAGCGGTGGAAGAACGTGACGCCAAATATGGCATGTCAGGGGTCCGTTTGTGAAAGACTTTCGCAAAACATGGTTGTTGCTAGCAATCGTTCAGTGACGTGTTCAATATGTGTTTTTTCCAGCTGCCTAGAAATTTGAATGAGTTTATCTAGCTGCTAGCTTGGGTTTCGCTTGAGCTTAGCAACGCCTGCACAAAGCTGCCACCAAAGTCATCAGACATCTTCCAATACATCCAGTGATTTAGTTGATCCATGTCTTTGTATTATAGATTGAGAAGGCACCTCTAGTCTCCTTGAGTTTGGTCTCAATTGACTTCCCAGACCCGGGTGGTGAGCCATAAGTTTTTGAAGTGGTGATGGTTTGGGGGGTGCATTTCTTGGTGCCCTTTCAAGGCCTCAGCAGTGCCGGCTGCACTGCTGCCTCGCTTCGTTGTGACGTTGATTCGTGGTGAATGGTTCAGTGGTTCTTTGGATTTCTGACTATTCCAGTCAGACCTTAGGGAGCAAACACTGTAGAGCCTTTGGGGCGAGTTAAATTTTTATACCGGCACTAATAATGATGTATGTGTGTGTGTGTGCGTGTATTCATCTATAGATATTGAGGTAGATAGTGAGGCTAGGATCGTCTTCGGTTGAAGCTGTGGGTGCAGTTTTGAACACTACAGGAGCAACTAACCCATGGCCACAGATAGAAGGTGACGTGTCCCAAACGAAGCGGGCCTTGCTAGTGATTCAGGCAATCAGAAAGTCTTGTGAAATTCAGGACATCAGCTACGTGAATAACAAGTTCGACATGGGCTTTCAGTCGATTGCACTTTGGCCTGGCTAGTGCAGGGTTGCGCAGGGTTGCGCCAATGTTTTTACTGGTGGTGGCTAGCTTTGAACCTTCCCTGCAAGATCCACATCTGAGGTGAAATTGACTTGCCTTGGTGGCCAAGAATTCGCCGGCGAACTCCAGACAACTGCGTCACAGGCCGGGAAGGGTGCATGGAAGGACGAAAACCGCGGCAAGGATCCTTTGATGTTCATCCTCAGGCAGAGCAAGCAGCGGCAAAGCAAGCTATGGAAGCATTCAAGGCCTGTTTTGTGGGGTTCATGCACTTCTTCTAGTACTTCGTGTTTGCTTATTGGGTGCAAAGACGCAAGTGTCATGTCAGTGGCCTTGTTGGCAAGTTTCTTAGGGCATACTTTAGGCTATCTAACATTGGTGCCCGCAGCCCCTTCTTGACATGTCATTGCCCAATAGTTGTTTTCCCAATAGCTTCGGTGCACCCGTAGCATCATCAGGTCTATTGCACATTCCGAAATGTTGGCACATGTTGGCACCAGCCGGAGTCGGAGAAACTTCCCTTCCTAATGACCCGATGCTGAGAAAAGCACAATCCAATTTTATATATATTTATAGAGAGAGAGAGAGAGGGAGAGGAGAGTCCAGAAGATATGCTTCATCATAAGTAGTGGATAGCGAGGCTGCAGGATGACAATACGTTCAGCACTGGAATCCGCACCTCTGAAGCGGTGAAGGCATTTTTGGACCCTACAAATTCGACCTCGAGTTGACCTCTATGACTCCGCTGAGTGGACTCTAGAGGATTCGACCGAGAAACGGAGTGGACTCAGCTCGGAAGTGACGCCAGGAGGAAGTCACACAGCTTGGTTTGGATCGCATGAGCGCTGCGCAGGCCGATGCGGACGTCGCTCGGGTGGGCCGTGGAAGACGTCACAAGTAAAGACATGGACTTGGTGGGTTCGACGGTTACAGCATGGCAGAAACAACGGTACAGTCACCAAAAGACAACATAACACAACCTGAAGAACGCCAACACGCTCGCTCAATCCTGGATCAGCATGACCGGGCGGTCAGTCTTTCTGGGGGGGGCCATCAAAGTCTGGCATTTTGGTAATTACCTATGTCCATATGCTTGGGCGGGTTGCAAAAGATAGCCAAACTTTTGTTCATTGCTGCAAGTGATCACCAAGATATGCATTGGCTTTTCTTACATCTCTCGAGTCTTTAGTGTTGAGTGCAACATGTGAAGGCCTCCAAGAAGAGAAAAGGTGCAGAGATCGAACCCGGCGTGAAGAAACAGAGGCTACTTCCTGGCATGCCTGTGCCCTAGTCTTCTCACTTTACCACTTTCGTGTCCCTGCCATTGCTTTTTCGTGTCCCAAGCGCGCCGAGATTGGGTGAGCCTGGACGGGTGGCAGCTGATGCGGGCGTGGTGAACACCACCAGCAAGATGGAGCTCAACACCCACTGCTCCAAGATTGTTCGTAGGGTGATGGAGAAGTCAGCCATTTGGACTGCAGCAGGAGAAATTGATTCACCCCTCACCTGGCCAGAGCAACAATGTCTAGGGTCTACGGCCTAGATGGGCCCAGGGTATGCAAATGGATGTTTGCCGCATTTATTCCGAAAGCAAGCCTAGACATGTTGATGTGGTGCCCCTCTTTTGAGCCTTTCTCTTTGCCGGGAGTTTCTGGCCTAAGGATGTCACCTATGAAACCGATGCAGTGATGGAGGGCGGCTTCCAGACCAAACTCAGGCCGGTCGTTGGTGCTCAGGCCATGGCGAGCCTGGACTGGGTGCCTTCGCCCACCACATGAACCCACGGAAAACTAAGAACATATCGACTGAAACCTGTGGGTTCCTGGGTCTTCTGGTAGCGACATCCACATTAATAAATAGATCAACATAATAACCCAAGATCTCCGAAGATCATCATTCACCTATGACCGGAGCCTCTTCTCCGTCCAGCCAAATCGCTCACGCGCGAAAACGCGAAGAACTGCGACAGGCTCAGCTGTTTGCCTGGCTTGTGGGGGAGCAGAGTCTTCGTGGGCGAGGTCTGGAGAGCTGTGGATCCGACGGTCAGACGTCGGTTCCGTCCCTCGTGGGGCGCCCGACCGGTTCCCCAGGTCCAAGCCAAGAAGGGTGAAGCGGAGCAAAGCGTCGCGAGCATCGCCCTGGCAGCGATCCAGAGCGATGCCGACTTGATGAGTCCTGCACTGAGTGGACTGAGCAGAGTCGGTGGACATCGGTGCACGCTACGAACGGAGCAAAGGGCATCGCGACGAACGGAGCAAGGACGCTACGAACGGGGCTCCTGGCATCGCTACTAGGAACAAGAAGCTACTAGGGGCTCCTGGCATCGCTACTAGGAATAAGAAGCTACTAGGGGCTCCTGGCATCGCTACTAGGAACAAGAAGCTACTAGGGGCTCCTGGCATCGCTACTAGGAACAAGAAGCTACTAGGGGCTCCTGGCATCGCTACTAGGAACAAGAAGCTACTAGGGGCTCCTGGCATCGCTACTAGGAACAAGAAACTACTAGGGGCTCCTGGCATCGCTACTAGGAACAAGAAGCTACTAGGGGCTCCTGGCATCGTTACTAGCAACAAGAAGCTACTAGGGCTCCTGGCATCGCTACTAGGAACAAGAAGCTACTAGGGGCTCCTGGCCTTACTACCAGGAGCAAGGACGCTAGTAACAAGGATGAATGCAGATGCAGAGGCTTCCACCGATGCATCCGAGCCACCACCGACTCTCCGGTCGCGACCCCCCAGGCAAGTTCAGTGCACCGCCCAAGCAGAAAGTTCGACCTCCAGGAATGATGATGACGAAAGGGAAAGGCAAGGGCAAGGCGAGGAAAGAGGTGTCAACTCGCAAGAGCTGGTCACTGTTTCACACTT